TCTTTAAAAAGAGAGAGGAATGTAGGTAGTGCTTATATAAGAAAAAAGGAACTTGAAAAGATAAGCCAGTTAATGAAAATAGAACAAGAGAGAGGAAGCATCCACCCCAAGCCAAAGGAAAATAGAATAAAGAGCCGCCCTTTGTCCTCCTCCTCTTCCTCTTCTCTCCTCTTTCCCTTCCCCTTCTCTTCCCTCTCCACGGACCGGAACGCGCCATGACGAGCTCCTCCACGCCGTCCCGCAAGGTATCAAACCCTAACCCTCCAATCCGTCCGATTCGCCGCCGGGTGGAGCGGCGGGTTGGCCGTCTCCGCGCGCGATTCGGCTGACAAATCTCCCGTCTTTTCTGATTGCGTGGGCAGGCGCTGAGCAAGATCGCCTGCAACCGGCTGCAGAAGGAGCTCGCCGAGTGGCAGGTCGGCCCGCCCGCCGGCTTCAAGTACAAGGTCTCCGACAACCTCCAGAGGTGCGCCCCGCCGATTCCCCCGATTCTTTTCCCCCCTCTCCCCGTTTGTGATTCTGTAGATTCCTGCGCGGGGGTGGTGTTCTTCCCCCCATGATTGATTGATTGATTGATTGGTGCTTGCGGGGGTGATGGATGGGTTCGGGCTAGTTGTTGCCTGATAGAAGAAGAAATTGTTTTCCATGGGCAGATGGGTGATCGAGGTGGGCGGGGCGGAGGGCACGCTCTACGCCGGCGAGACGTACCAGCTGCAGGTCGACTTCCCCGAGCATTACCCCATGGAGGCACCTCAGGTGAGTTCTCCTCCTCTTCCTTTTTTCCCATGATGATGATGGTGGTGATGAAGGTTGCACTTGCACCCTTAGTTATCTTATCTCTGTCCTAGTGTTATTATGTTGCCTCAGTTTGATTCTGCTGGACCAATTGGAAAATAACCCTGCCCCAATCTCCAGGTCATTTTCCTCAACCCGGCGCCGATGCACCCGCACATTTACAGCAACGGGCACATCTGCTTAGGTAAACTCCATCATGCCGCGCCTCTCATCCCCTCCCCTCTCCTCTCCTGGGGAAATTTTTTTTGTCTATGCCTCCGTGCCGGTGCCTATTTTTGATTAGCTAACTTTGCATATGGTGTGTGGGAATGTTCCTTGCCTAACCTAATCTAACGTCTAGCTGTCGGTTAGGTCCTAAGATTCCATTTGTTAGCGGAAAGTCACCACCACCCTGGTCCTCAAGTTGTGCCTTTGCCGGTTTTTGGAGTGGCGACACGGTTTAGCTGCTTTAAACTCGCCTTTCCTTTCCATTACTTGAAAAAGGAAGTTTTGGTGAGATTACCAGAAGCATGACCTTGTTAGATGCAGAAGATGCTTTGTGCTTTGCGTTCCAAGTTTGTCTCCTTTTCCCCGCTGACTCTGTTTGTTGTGGGTCATTTTAGTCGGGTTTGGGCAGCTGCCATCAACATTTCTATAATTGTTAATCGTTCCAGTATTAGTCCTCAAGTGTGCCTTTGCAGTTTATAGAGTAGCTGCACTGTTGAGGTGCTTTAACTCGCCTTTCGATTCCATTACTAGAAAAGGAAGTTTTGGTGGGATTGCCAGTCCAGATGCATGACCTTGTAAATGGAGGTGCCTTGTGCTTTGCGTTCTAAGTTCTCTCACTGTTCCGTTGGTGGTGGCTTGTCTCTTTTCCCCCGCTGGCCTTGTTAAATGCAGGTCATTTTTTTCGGGTTTGGGCAGCTACCATTGACATTTGTATAATGGTTAATTGTTTGAGTCTTCAGTGTTATGTTCTGTTACTTGCAAAAAAAAAAGTCTTATGTTCTGTTGAATTCCTCATCTTTTGCTATTAAAAATCAATTTATTTTCTCGCCTTTAACTAAACTAGTTATGCAAAAAAAGATAGCCTATGTAATGGAACTTCCATTCAGCTACGTCAACAAACATTTTTGGTTGCTAGCTGTGTGCATACGCAATGTCAAATCATATCAAGTCAAAGTGGATAATCTGCCTTCAACGACTTTCCATGCACATGTTTATATGTTAGCAGGACATAACGGAATTCTCTTGCAGCTTTTCCAATGCTGGATGTGGCATTTACTGTCGTTGTTCGTGAATATATCAGGCTAAAACTTACTAACTAATAAATCTTGTCATAAAATAGGCAGGTGGGTGGTAACCTCAAATGAAAACACCAGTCACTTTCCATATTAATGATATATGATATCTTCAGCATGGCATTAGCGTAACTTTTTCTCTTGCTGGTAATCACAATATCAAAGAACTTGTTTGTCCATTCCCATCATTCCAGTTTAAATGTACGCTATAATCCTTTGTCAACCCAGCGTGGTAGCATCACCACTGCAATTGTCAGTAACTCAGTGGTATTCCAACTGTTCAAGCAGTTCCAGTTTGCAAATAAGCTTCCCTTCATCATTCCAGTAAGCTACCCCAGCTAGTCGGTGACAAGTAGTTTGTGCTAAATAAGTTAGAGGCACCCTCCCTGAACCCTGCCCACTGGTGACCAGTACAAGTAATTAAGCTAAGCTGTGGCCTTTCCCCTTTTCCCTCCCTTCTGGTGAGGATTATGAAGATGAAATTGGAGTCTCTGTAGAACTCCTAAACCACCCCTGTTTGAATCCTAAAACCATCCCTATGTGAATAAAACGAGCACCTTCCCTACCGACTCGACATTTGGTTCATGTGGTTATTTGCTAAGGAAGCTAGTAGGGTTGATTATGTTTGTATTAATTTTGGTAACCTTTTAACTTGATGGTGGGTGTGAGTTAAAGAGATATATAATTTTTTGGTGTCTAAAATTTGAAGCTTTGAGTGTAGGATAACAGGGGCATGCTCACATGCATTCAAGTTATATAACCACTATCACCCTGAACCTTGGACTTCCGTTGCGAGACTGAGCCATGTTTCTTGATCTATTAATCTGCTTTATCTGGACTTCCACTTGCTCAACTTTGCAAAAGACCACAACATTTCTGCTTTTTTATTATCTTATTAACTGTACCTAGGCCCAGTTGAAGAGTCAACCAATTATGGTTTTCTCGTCAAGGTTTTAAATTATAAAACAGCTGCAAATATGACATTTTAATATATGATTTTGTTGACTATGGAGTTCTCAGTGTGATCTCTGCCACACAAATTAAGAAAAGAAGAGGCTGAATGTTCATGTGACCCATCCTAGCAAAATTCTAGGTGAATGTCTCGGACGTATAGCAGTGCTCTTTAAACTAATTTGTCCAATGTACAGCTTGTTATAGACCCAGATTGCTTAGTTCAAATTAATTTGTCTCATGTCTGTTTTAGCATCTATTATGAAGTGAGTAGTAACTGAAGGGCCCTTTCATTATTATTCTTACGATTTTCCTGTGATTTTCATTATTATTCTTACGATTTTAATTTGATATTGCATTATTTATGTAAGTTAACAAGTTGCTGCTTCTCTTATGTGCAGATATACTGTATGACTCGTGGTCGCCTGCGATGACTGTAAGTTCTGTCTGTATCAGCATCTTGTCGATGCTGTCTAGCTCGCCAGCAAAGGTTACCCCAATAAACCCCCATCCATCTCTACCTTCACATATCAAACACGATGTTCCTTTGCTTGCTCTCTTACTAGCTACGCATCTTATTGGTCAACAACAGCAACGCCCGGCGGACAATGACCGCTACGTTAGGAACTGCCGCAACGGGAGGTCGCCGAAGGAGACCCGATGGTGGTTTCACGACGACAAAGTATGAGGGGGCATCGAATCGATTGGCTCTTCTGGCCACCCCACACTCGCCAGCCAGCCTTCCTTACTGTGAAAGAAATCTCTTCCAAGGGGAGATGAGATGAGATGATTTAGGCTTAAAAATTTAAGCTAAGCAACCCCTCTATCGTACTGCGGATCTTAACATGCTGTGGTGGTTTGTACATGAGCTCAACACATGTTTGTCGAAACGTGAATATATCATCGCTACCGACGATGAGATATATATATATATATATAGAATAAGCAAGTGTAACCTGTCGGTGCGCACAAAAGGAATGCAGATTTATCTATGATTTGCTACATTGTTTCGTGCTATCGCCGACTGATGCCCTACTTGGCATATATATCCGATCCCCTCGACTGAATTTGCTGAAATCAAATGAAAATTTTGGAACAAGTCCAATGTGCAGAAGTGTCTCAGATGATTTGTCTCTCAAACGTGATTGATTCAGGAAACTATGTGCTGAATCTTTTGGGTGATGTCTGATTGCATCATTCATGCTTTAAACATTGCACCAAAAGATTGTTTGCACTGTAAAATTGTGGCTTAGGATGCACAGCTCCACAAGAAACAAGGAACCATGGAAAAGAAAATTGCCACTACTGATGTATGTTTTGTCGAACTTATTCTTATTTCAAGTGTTTGAATAAAAAAACTTGTAGTTTCTTTGTTGCGACATCAGAGTTATTTTGCGTGTAATACGGTACATTTTGATTTGAATTTCATCTGTGAGGTAATAATACTCTATTCATTGCTGATTAGGCCCAATATCAACCGTAATGACAGTGATAATGCAGCTTCCTCCCCAGGATTTCCACTCAGGCTGCACCTTCTTCCCGGGCTTCCTTGCACATCAACCACCATGGCCATCCATGGAGCAGTATGGTCTCTCACAAGAAGATTAGAATGAGTTGAGACCGACTCGGTTTTGCCTTGCGAGGAGGCGCTCGGTTTGGTTTCAAGCAAGAAAGTTATGCAAAGAACATTTCTAAAATAATACTGTGAATATTATTTTTCAATGCACGATGATAGAATTTTAAATATGTGAAGACATTTGTTAAATGCATTATGATTTTTTTTAATTACACCGTGACATTGTCTAGTGATGCGATGATACTGTGAACAATTTTTCGTATACATGATGGCCATCTTTTAAATACATGGGTACAATTTTGGAAATGCATGACAACAATTATTTAAAAACATGAAATTTCTGAAAATGCATGATGAACCTTTTTTAAAAATGATTAATATTTTTTAATACACGGTGGACATATTTTAGAAAAGTATAAACATTTTTCAAAATATATGAAGAACATTTTTAGGAATATATGTTGAACATCTTTCAAGAGAAATTAACCCATATTAAAAAAATATTCATCTTTTTAGAATGATGTTTTCTTAGAATACACAATGAACCTTATTAAAGTACATACCTAATGTTTTATTTTCTTAATGCATGGTGAACATTTTTTAAGTGCATGAAAAGCATTTACAAAATATGGTATGAACTTTTGAAAATACATACCGAACATTTTGTAAAAACTGTACGAACATTATTTTATATAAAAAAGAAAAATGGCCCTGAGAGAAAAGGAAAAATATGAAAACTAAAGAAAATGAAACAAAAAATAAAAGGGGACAAAAAATAGAAAAAGTCTGGCCTAATTTTTGTCCCCCTTTTGATTTCTCTTTCTTTTTTATTTTATGGACATTTGTCTTCATGATATTTTAAAAAGTTCATGTTTAAAAAATTGCTAATAAAATTGAACAAGATTTTGCCAATTCAAAAAATGTTCATGAATGGAATAATATCCTAAAAATTTAAAAACTGTTCGTGACTTACAAAATAGTTTATTCATTCATAAAATATTCTCTGATTCAAAAAATGACCCTGCATACCAAAAATGCTCCTTAAATAAAAAATGTCTGTGAATTAAAAAAAATATTTCAAAATTTTTATAAAAATGTTTGTTGATTCTAAAAATGTTCACCGATTCAAGTATTGTTTTTAGAAAAATGTTCATTTTTTAAAGTTTGCAAATAGTATTAAATATTAATGAATTCAACAAATGTTCTTGATTTTGGAAAATGTTCGATTTTTTTTAAAAGTGTTCATGAATATGACAAATGTTCACGGTTTCAAATATGTTCACGAGTTTAAAGAAATGCTCACGATTTCATGAAATTGAGAGTGATAATATATCTTGGTGATGCAGCAAAACATGGTCATGACGATTGAAGATTATAATTTTCTTTCCGGTTGCAATGCTCATGCCCTTTAGCTAGTAGGTCAAAATAAGAGGTTAACACACATGATCATCGAGACTGAGCCGTCCGACCCG